TAAGCGAAGACAGATTGCTGCAAATTTCCTCAAAACAGAGGTGAGAGATGGGAAATCTACGTCATTCTGGTTTGACAACTGGCTAAGTGTGGGACCTCTGTTCCACATCACCGGGGAAGCTGGTACAAGACTATTGGGTATAAATCGTAATGCTAAAGTCGTTGATGCAGCAGAGGGAAACAACTGGAAGATAAGACGAACGAGAGGGCTACATCTTCAAGGCATGATTTAACATATCAAACAAACTCCAACGCCCTCGAGTCAGGCAGGGTCGGACCGTATGCTCTGGTTGCAGGGTCATGACAAGTACGAGCCAAAGTTCTCCACTAGACACACATGGGAGCAAATCCGACAAGCTGTCCCTTGGCATCGCATCATCTGGTTTCCTCAAGCTATTCCTAGACATGCTTTCATATTGTGGTTGGCGTTTAGAAATAGATTGTCAACGGGAGAGCACCAATCATGCTTGCTCTGTGGAGAACCTAAAGAGACACGTGACCATTTATTGTATAGAGAATGTATTATTGTATATTTCTAGAATCAGTACATTTGATTATTTATACAAGTGAGAAGAAGAGTCTAGACTAATCTAATTACAGAAAGTCCTAAATCAATGTAATTGAATATTAACATATCAAATCATATCTCTAATACTCTGGACCATGATCATTTCAACACTTCTCGGCTCAAGGATAAATCCAGATTGGACTTTGCCGGTGAATAGTCTCATGAGAAATCGACTTCCAAGTTGGATGCAACTCTCACAAAGATGGCGCAACAATCAACTGTGTACTGGATCTGGAAAGAAAGAAATGGAAGACGACACAATCGCTCTTCAAATTCACCGCTCTGTCTTGCACACACCATTCATAAGGAGATTCAGAACCGCCTTCTCTCATGTCGGCGAGGACGAAGTACGGAACCAGAAGATGACGAGGGGCCAAATCGGTGGCTAGCGATCTCTAGGCTCCCAACTTAAGACACTACTCTCAGTCCACCTACGATCTCTCTTTTGATTTCAACTTTGATCGGCTCTTAAAGATTTTCACTTTTTTGCTCTGGTTTTCAGTGCAATAACTTCTGTTCTGTTTTAGTTTGATCATTTAGGTTTCCATTTGATTAGATTTTGTAACTTTTTTTGTTGATAAATTAATTTTACATTTCAACAAAGAAAAAGAAAAGAAAATATCATGATAATGTATTGCTCGTAAATTTGTAATAGAATCTTTTTAGTAGAAATGTGGACATTGAGTTCGTGCAGGTACTTACATATTGTGTTTTAAATCTTTTGACTTTCTTTTGTGATGTTCAGTATCAAAATTAGGAAAATTAAGCATGGAGGAGGTCCAATGGTTGTTCAAGATGACGTGTCTGAAGTAAATACAAATTTTAAAACTTTCAATCAATTGCTTCCTTGGAATAAAGAAATAAATTAGTTCCATGGTATTTTTTCTGTGTTTTGCTTTTGCAAATGGCAACTGACAGAAAAACCTTAAAGAAGGTGACGATTATTTTGTTGATGTATAACTAAAAATGCCATTTATACCTTTTGTGTTCTAATTGTTAGTGCAAAGTTGATTTTTTGTGTTCTGGTTCAATCTTTTTTGGGAGAGATGATTAAGTCGTGCCATGGAATTATTACCAATCTAGTCTGGATCCTACGGATCCTGGTCCTGAATTTTTGGCAATTGCCCGACCTTAATTCCAATTCAAACATTCCCGGTTCGATATGATCATATATACGCTATCTGAAATATTCGTTTTGACAAACGATCTAATCGTTTACATGTCAAAGATCAGATTTCACCGTCCCACATTTCGGCAACAGATTTTATGGGACCTTTGTCAGAGATATAAACCTCTCCGGCACAGTTCCTGCATTGAGGAATCTCTGTCGAGATTCTCTGTGCCTCTTCCTCTGTCAAAGACCAATCAAATATCTTCAGATTCTCTTCTAGTCTCTCTTTGGTAAAGCTTTTCACTACCATGCTCACTCCTTGCTCGTACGCCCATCTCATACTCACCTGTCAACAATTTTGCCAAAGATAGGGACCGACCAATTTCAAATTATTCAAAAGATGAATTTTTCAAGTTGGTATCTTTTGAGAGTACCTGTGCCACTGTTTTCCCTTTGGCCTCAGCTATTTCTTTAAGAACATCAGACTCCATGATTTTGTCAGTTCCCCAAAAGGCCCCTCTCGATCCTAACACCGAATAAGCGGTAATGGCAATGCCATTCGACTTACAAAGGTCCCTTAGCTTTCTCTGTTGCCATACTGGACTCATTTCCACCTTTTTTCACATTCATCCAAACACATAAATATCTCCAATTGCTTCGGTTAAACCCAATCTCTTTCAACAAAAGAAAAGCAAGGATTGAGGTGTGTTTACTTGATTAACACTTGGTGGGATCTTGGCGATAGAGAGGATGTGTTGGAGCTTCTTGCACGAGAAGTTGCTCACTCCGATACATTTTGCAAGGCCGAGTCTCTGGCACTCCTCCATTTCAGACCAAACTGCTTCATAATCCATTGGCAGAAAATCATCTTTTTCAATGGGAAACTTGTATTTACCAGGTTTCGAGCTAACCGGCCAATGTATCACGTAGAGATCAAGATAGTCCACTTTAAGATTTCTACAAAAACAGAATTATGCGTCAAAGAATGAAGGTGATCTACATTAAGTAAATGGGACGTTAGTCACAGACGAAATCTTACTTCAAACTCCGTTGGATCGCCGGTACAACAAGGCCAGCGTGAGCATCGGCGCACCAGAGCTTGGAGGTGACAAAGAGTTCGGATCTAGACCGTACCAAGCCGAGAGAAACCGCTTCCGACAAAGCTTCGCCGAGTGGCTCCTCCGTCTGGTACCTCGGAGACGTGTCGAAGTGGCGATAACCGAGCTTGATCGCCTCAATCACTGCCTGTTTCAGCACCACCGGTTTCGGCGGCCGAGATGCGGCGGTTCCTAGACCAAGAACCGGCATCAAGTGGTGGCCGGATCCGATTGTGAGCGTAGGGAGTGTGAGCGAAGACATTAGTCAAATAGAGAAGCGGAGAAATAGAAGTTCGTGTCTGGACAAAGTATTTACCAACCTATATATACTCTCTCACTAGCAAGTAGACTGATGATGTTARAGCATGATTATAGGTAATAAATATGATTGGRGTAATATATAAATTTTATAATATTAATTGTATTGGGATTGATGAATAGAAAGAAAAAGAGGAGAGAGATAGAAAGAAGTTCGTGTCTGGACAAAGTATTTACCAACCTATATATACTCTCTCACTAGCAAGTAGACTGATGATGTTAGAGCATGATTATAGGTAATAAATATGATTGGAGTAATATATAAATTTTATAATATTAATTGTATTAGGATTGATGAATAGAAAGAAAAAGAGGAGAGAGATAGAAAAAAATGTTATATTTACCAACTAAATATGGGTAATACAGATTCTATATTGAGAAAACCAAAAATAGTTTAGATAAATATAAAATTTTTATAATATTAAAAATTTCTTATATTTACCTTTATTTATCATCCATAATCATGTTTTTAGAGCATAGGTTTTAAGTTGAAATTCTTAATAATTTTTTTATTATAAATTGTTTTAGGTTCTTAATCTCTCACATTTTGGAATTCTTAATCTTTAAAATAACTTTTTATTGAGATACTTAAGTTTTGTATATTATTTGATTATTTTAATTTTTCTTTTTTTGTTCAAAAATTTTCAACTTTTTATAGAAACCTATTAAAAACAACTTAAAATCTGCCATTGATTATTGATTATGCGTTTATTTTATTTTCAAAAGCATGTCACACGTGACGTGAGTAAGCGGCGGTTACATTTGAGAGAGAAGTTTAAGTTGAACGAGGGGCCATGCAGGCGGCGATTTCGAGAAAGAAGGTAATTGGATGGTATGACTGACAGACATTAACTGTTATGCATTTTTAGGCTATGTACAATTGGGGGGGGGGGGGGTTGAATAATTGTTTTCAACCATTTAATAGATGCAATGAGGAGTTGAAATTTGGGTTGAAATACATGTGGATTAATTTGAGTTGAAAAGATTCAACCGAATGAAAGAAGAAAAAATGACACACGTGGCATGTTGTGGTTGGAGACATAATTTGTGGGGTCGGAGTGAGAGAAAGATTGATAATTTGT